TCTCTCTCTCTCTCTCTCTCTCTCTCTCTCTCTCTCTCTCTCTCTCTCTCTCTCTCTCTCAGTCTGGTACTAACCTGTGAAGTCATCTCTCTCTCCAACGCTACTCTACTACTACCAGCGCCCAGCACTGAAGACTACTACTACAGCTACTAGCGCCCAGCGCTGAAGACTACTGCTAGCGCTAGCGCTACTCCTGCAGCGCTCCTCCAGAGTGCTGCTGCCGAATCCTGAAGACTACTCCTGCCTTCTGCCTACCCGTGAAGTGCATGGGAACTCCCTATGTACTACCTCGGCCTGCCTCCTGACTACCTCCGACTGCCTGCAGTTGCAGGGCGGGGCAGTCCAGGAGGCTGCTCTTGCCAATGCCAAAGTGAGCCAGGGCCTGGCGCTGCAGCTCCTGCTGAGGCTGTCATGGGAACAGGCCAAAAATAGCCTGTTCCTAAAACCCTGGTTTGGTGCCTGAGTGTCAGGGCCGGTCGATCTTATGAGGGCCCAAAAGTGGCCCTCCGTTTCAGGCTGAAAAGACTCAGGGCCTGGACGGCCCTGTTTTAGGTTGAAATGACATAGGGCCTGCAGGCCCTCGTTTTCAGGCTTTCAGGCTGAAACGACACAGGGCCTGTAAGCCCTTATTTTCAGGCTTTCAGGCTGCGAACGCTGGTCGGGCCCAGCAGGCCCGTGTGGCTATGCAGTATGCCACACTAGGGGTGGTTGGATTGGTTCATCATGGGATGTGTTCTGTGTTTTGATATGCCTTACATCATCTTGTTGTTTGAGCTGTACAGTGAGGTGGCAAGGTTTTTGTGAGTGCTATGGTGTGGTTGGGTGGAATTGAGCTTGGGAGCAATTACTATTTCTTATGTTTTTTTTAGTTCCATGGTGCTTGCTTATGCTCTTGCGTGCTATTTGCCTGAGATTGCAATGAGGATGTTCATGTGCCCCGATCTTTCTTTTTTTTCATGTTGCTTTTCATTTCTCGCTGCTATGCTCAGTTTAGCATGGCCAACCGATGGCAGCCGTCCGACCAGTTGATGCCAACCCATCAGCTATGAATCCCCCTCGGCGGCGGCCATCCGCGGCCGAATCCGCGGACGCGCGACTTTGGAGCCACGTGGCGGCCGCGAGGGAGACACTTTCGGAAATCTAGAGACGCCACGTGGCGTCGCATCCCCGGCCCCACCCCACCACACAAAAAAAAA